ATGGTATAAACAAAAAAGCGACCATCACACCAGATGACTATACCCCCCAGCTAAATAATATGAAAACCAAAAAAAAAGGGGAAAACATACTGATGCAGAGCTATATATAGAATCAGAGCACTCCATGAGTCACTAAGTGCTGCAGAATCCAGTGGAAAGCAGAAAAATCTTCTGGAAGGAAGAAAAACTTCAAACCATGGAGCACATGGAAGTTGATGTCTTGCCTTGTCAAAGCAAAGGCATGAGAAGACGAAAGAAGCCACTCAGACCATTACAGAAAGGTTTTGCAGAGGAAGTTCCAGAAAAGGAACAGAACCCACCAGTCTTATCAAATACCACTTTTTTTTTTTTTTTTTTTTTTTTAAGAACTACATTAGATCAGTTTCTATTACCTTGCTGCCAAGCTTACCCATACCTCATGTATCCTATTTTGAAGACATTCTGTTCAATCTCCTTTCTAGCAAGTTCAGCGTGGCAGCCCTCATGATGCGACAAGTCTAAACCAAGCACTTCACAAGTGCCAAATGACCAAAAAATAGTGCAAGGTTTTACAGGGAATTGCAACCTCCTGTGCATCATCCTAATCCATACAGATGTATTACCTAGAGGCAATACCCCTGAAGTCACCTTCGTTCTGCTGGTTTTTTTCTTGAGACGCTTCCTGATTACCTGATGTTTTTGTCATTCTAACAGATAATTTAAGTTTTATCCTATTTCTATTTCTCTCCTTTCATACCGGTCCATTGTAAGAGCAATCTTCTGTGCCTTTTGTGGATTATTGAAATCCATTTATATAAAAGCTGGGATTTAAAACAACAAGCTAGCTTATAAAGCTGCCAACATATGTCCAACAGTACAGACTGTGCATCCATGTGCAGTTATATCCTAGATTTCAAACACTAAAATCTCTCAATCCACTGCCTGCACAAAATCCTTTGTGCTTTTATTCTAAGCTTTGACAGCAAGCTCACAACTTCTTTGTTAAATTTTAAACTGTACTTTCTAGCTGCTGTATGTGAGAATAGGAAGCTGCTATAAATATTTTATTCTATATTTTTTTCCTTCTGGGTTTTACAACAAATTTTGTCCTGTGCCTCACATCTGTTCCAAGAGGGTGGTATGTGAGAAAGACACATCACGTTTGTACATGTCCTGCTATTTAAAACAACCAGTGTTAAATCTTTCTTCCCCCATTTTCCCTTGAGCATCTGTTAATGGTAACAAACAATCTGCAATTAGCATTTAAAAAAAAAAAACAAACCCACAAATAAATCACACACAGAAAGGAGCTGGAGAGAAGCACACAATATTTCACTCACTACCCCACTCCTCACAAAGTGTAGCAGAGCATTGTACAGGACACCCAAGATACATTCAAGGTATTGATTCTGGGGACCTGGAGTACATTGATTGCCACCTTCAGGAAGGCAGACACCCTCTCTTTGCCACATTTCATGAGCGGGTCTCAAGAATAGAACATGCTCTCTTGTGGTGGCCACAAGCACGCATGGAGTTTGTTTCCACATCCCCATACATCTTTGTCACCACCACCATCTTCTGGATCCCTTCCAGATGAAGAGAATGTTTTCCAAATGACTGAAGTGGCTGAGAAACTCCAGTCCCAACTTCAGATGATGTTTGGAAGCTGTGGATAGACAAACCTTTCCAGACATTTGTGCAAGGTTCCAGATGCTTTTAAGCACCCTTCACCTCCCTAGGTTTATGTTTTCCATGATCTACTACTGCGTGAGTCGCTTATATACCAACGATTGTACATTTTCAGTAAGTGAGCTTATTTTTACCTCAGTGGGTCAAAGAAGAATTTATCATCAGCTTTACTTATAGATGGGAAGGGATGGTCACCTCTAGGACAACAATACAAACAGTTGGGACAGAAAACTTCTATAGTCACAGCAATATCTGAATGACTACAGCCTCAGGTACTCAAATCCCTTTTTTCATTTCTTCATTTCATTCAAGTCACATTCCAAAGTGCTCCAGAATAAACTATGCAGGTATTTCCAGTTGACAGACAACTCTTCAGGCAAAATGCTTTTACCCACCTCCTTCCCAAGCTCTACATCCTCTCCATACAAAGGGAAAAGACAGGCCCTGTGTGCACCTAAGAGAAACTTATGGGCTGACAAAATTTAGGACAAGGCAGGAATCAGGAAACCTAAGTTTCAGGGTTGAGAAATGTCAGTAGCACTTAAACTACATGCAAAAGGGACATTTGTAAAGCTGTATTTACTAGAAGCATAAATTAAAAAACCCTTTCCTTCTATCCTACCCTGTACCAGTATAGCTGTGCTGGCAAAATCCCCAGCATGAACACAGTAGTGCCAACTGAAGAATCATTTGCCAAAATATTTTATGTCATTCAAGTAAGGTGACTTACCTTTGCAGTACAGAGGAGGCTATGAGGCAGAGCCTCTTGTCTAAGCAAGATCTGAGATTTGGAAACGTAGCCACAGGTCACTTTTGAAGTCTTGAGGAATTTTTGCTGGTCTATTGTGGGTTTTTTTGCTTTTTTTAAATTTTTCCTTTTTTTAAACAAATAAGGTTTGCTGCCAATGTCTGTTTAATTTGATGTGAATGACAGGTAACATCCTTCCTGAAGTAAAAGGTCTAAAGAGTAGAGTGCTGGGGAGACTAAACTATGAACAAAATACCCTGTAAAGCTACGAACCAAGTAGTCACACTGCTGCATGTTTTACACTAGGATGAGGGTTGGGTGGTTTGGGAGGATTAATGGCAATGCTGAATAAATAGTGAGGGGATACAAAAATATATTTACTCACCAAACCAAGCCTGTTGTTCTCCTTGGACTTCTATAGCCAACCCAAAGTCTGCCAGTTTTACTGCTGCTCCCTTGGATTTGCTAGCTAAAAGTAAGTTTTCAGGCTTTATTCAGAGAGAGGAAAAGAAAATTGAAAAGAAAAGATAAGTAAAACAATTTTAGACAGGTTTTTACTTTTTGTTAAAGTTGACTAGAAAAGAACAAATCCTTAGAGAAGTGAAAAAGAGAAAAAACCCATTCCAAAAATTGCACTTCCCATTCCTACTTGGAAAGAACCACCAGGCCTGTCAACAGCCTTCATGATCTGATGACAGCAAGACTATTGACAGTGTGCAGATCTAGCAGAGCAGGAGGTCAGCCAGCATGGTCATACCTAACCATGATACCTGTCTGCATGACAGGACAATTCAGAGACCTCTAAGAGATCACTTCTGAAAAATGCTGCAGAAACCAAAACAAAGAAATCTTTCATTAACCTACACAGTTTGCAGGAGTAGGCATCTAGAACTGTCAAACATAAATATGTTTTGCATGACAGCTTAACAATAACAGACATATGATGATATTTTTATCTCAAGGGCAGGTGTATTTACATTGCAAATCTTTCAGCAAAATGAGCATGGCCACATTTGTGCTTGCTGAGAACCTATTGCAAATAACAGTGCAAGCCTGCAAAAGTTCCCACTTTGCTATTTTTTTTTAGGGTATGTTGGTCACATCTGCAATCAAATGTTACAGTGCACTCCCATCATTAAAAGTGAAGGATTTGAACCTAACAGTGGCATTCATTCCATAATAATTCTTTTAATTCCAAAACAAATTTAACTTCATGCAGCAAATACAACAAATGTAAACTGTCCAAAGATAACTTTATTCTATGACCCTTAGCTTTTTTTTTTTTTCCCTAGTAACTTACAAAATAATGTAGAATTCAGCAGATTATTTCAGATAACTGTGACCTCTATGGTATTTTCTTGCAATGTATTTTTATTTACATCATAGTAACAGAACCTTGCTTTCAAGGGTATTGCTGTGAAACTTCCAAGAGCAATTTTTGTAGTGATCTATCCCAATGGAACTGGCTATATCCAGTCTGGCACTGGGCACCCAGTCCTGCAAACTCTTAAAATGTGTGTTTCAATTTTAAAACCAGGAGCAATCATATCAGTTTACATGGGACTATTTATGTGATTACAGTTAATCCCATGCAGGTACTGAGCTTGGAAACAATAAAGATCATGAGCTTCTTTCAGCAGAGGCTATCTTTAATACATCTGTCAAGTATCCAGCAGAGTATGCTTGAGCTTAATTAAGACCTCAACTTCTGCAGTTCTTCTATTAATTAACAACACAATTGGCCCCAAAAAACTCTTCAGCCTAAAGGTGGGGTTTTTTTTCCTCTCTCACAAAATTGTAAAAGGAACATTTTTTTCAGCAATTCACAAACACCATCTTCTCACTCATCCCATGTTGCTATGTCATAGAAAAGATGGTATTAAAAACCTTTCATCAATAGTTACTTGATGAATCTTCTATTTATGCATTTTAAAAAATTGAGATGAAGGTATGTCAGAATAAAATACAATCTTTACTGGCACTTAAATTATCAGTAACAACTTCAATCACAACATATCAAACACTGACTGAATAGCTGAGGACTATTCTCTAGGTTCATCAACACTGACGTCAGCAATGTCATCCTGCTTGTCATTTGACTACACTCATCTCAACTTGCAGTCTCACAGTTTTGCAAGGTTTTCTACCAGAGTGAGAGAAGTTCACAATAATTACTTCCTCAAATGCAGGTCTCAAATAAGCTTCTTAAAGCAATGGATGATCCTATTTGGGTGGTGACCTTCAGCAAGGCAAAGGCAGTGAAATGCCTCACCCTTTTGGCTGAAACAAGAGCACTAACAGATCGAGTGCATATCACTTCATACCACGTGACTCTATTCAAAACAAGCTTTTAAAAATTTCCTTTCTTTTTTTAAAATTCCATTCCATGCCTTGGTCTGCCAGTCACAGAGCTCCACAGAAACACCACTGCCATCGGCCAGTGTGTTTCCACAGAAGCTGAAGCGGATTTCCTGATTTACTCCTGTGCCAAAACCAACATCCTTTTGGGCAGGGTTGTGTGGGTCTGGGTGCTTAAACAACACGCAGCTGTCACTTTAGGATGACGAGAGGCATGCTGGATAATTATCATGCATTAACTGCAAATGACTGCAATTACTTGGAAAACATTAACAGCCCAGCCTGTGCCGCTCAGGACTGTGCTCTGGATTCAATAGTGTCACCTTGTGCTACCAGGTGACTGGCTGCAGTCAAGCATGTAGAATGGCAGTGTTAACTGCTAAAATTACTTACCCAATAAATTAACATGATTTATACCTTAGTTTTCCAAAGGTCTTTAATTCTTAGTGATCAAGCATTTATGCCACTGTGTATTTTTCCTTGAATACAGAGCATCAGCTAGTTTGTTTGGTTTTTAACTGAACTTCAACAGGGGATAAGCAAGAGTCATAATCATGGAGCTTTACAAAAGCAGCAATGCTGCTGACTGCCAAGAACTGGAATTCCCACACGGAAGCACACTTTTACCATCTGTTAAAGACAAACTGCCACTAACAGGTTATTTTTTTCTGGATCTTGGATCTACCACCTTTCTAGATACCAAGGATTACAAACAGACCAGCAACAAGCACTTTTGCAGGTCATAAGAGGCTGCAAAAGCTCCTCTCTGTTTGCTACTAAATGATGCTAAAAGGAAAGTTAAATAAAATTATATAGTTCAAAATCTTCTCCTTTTCTTGCCTTCCCCACTCCCAAAATTGTGGTCTAAGTTATCAGAAAAAAAATAAAAAAAATCCATCGAGTTTTGCAGTTTAAGAATCCACACCAGGCCATGATCATCTTCTGCATGTCTGGTAGCTCTGGTCTTGGGCCTCAGCATCTTCTTTTTGGAACAGAGTTCTGGTGGGATTTTCAGCACAGTCATTTCAATCCTTGATTTATTTATTTTTTTTAAATTTTGCCACAAAGTAGTGACTGAAGAAGGATGGTTTTATGCTTCCTCAAGTGTTCACTTTCAGAAAAGAAACTGGGTATTACAGCTTGTCAGAAACATTTTTTCTCACACTGTTTCCCCAGTTCATCCTGGCTTTGCCAGAGTAAGAAATCCACACATGGTTTGGAGCAGGCAACAGCTGGATTTCCAAAGAAAATGGTATTTCGTGTCAATGTATGAAAATCTCTGTCAGATTGCATGGCTACAATTCTTTTTTTTCAATTCCTTTGCATGTTAGAAGCAGAGCACTGCACGTAGAGCGTGGACAGGAGTTGCTGGAGCAGTTGGACAAATCTGACATCCCTTCCTTTCAACTTGCTCCACATTATGTGGCTGCCATATAAGATTTACAGATGGGATCAAGACTTGTCCATGTCCTGTTGTTCAACTGTGTCACAGGCAAATCCTAAAGCACAAAATGTGGGTGCCTTTGCAATCCGTGGTGCTCCCTGAGCTTTCAGAGCATAAACCTTTCTCTTCCTACAGGACAACAAGTCTAATTCCTACCAGCTTTGAGACAGACTTTTCTCTCTGGGCTTCCCTGTAAAAGAAAATAATCTTTACTTGTTTCTTTCCATGCCAACAGGTTTAAATGCAGAGTGTTTCTGCAGCAGACACTTCCATCCGTTTGGATATTTACATAGTTAAGAAAGAGAATAATAGAATGCCATGTTGGAAGGGACCTCAAGGATCCTCTGGTCCAATCTTTCCAGGTACTACTATAGTTTACATGAGATGGCTCAGCACCCTGTCAAGCTGAGACTTAAAACAGTCCAATGTGGGGGAATCCACCACCTCTCTTGGGAGATAATTCCAACATTTGACTGTCTTCATGGTGAAAAATTTACCTCTTGTGTCCAGCTGGAAACTCTAAACACAAGAATTTTCTTTCTGAAGCTTCTATCCCAATGCTACTGTTTGTCTGGAAGAAACTCAACTCCTCAGGGGATCCTGGTGAGAACACTGCAGAAATTCCCACTTTCTAAAGGTGTTCTGTAGTCCAGACATCATCCGGAGGAGAGATAGGTCTTTGTGCCAGCAATCTCACAGCTGCTGGCCGTGTGTCACAAGAATGTATGACATGCAAAAGCTAGTGTTCTTCCCAGAAGGAACCTAATGAGCCATAGGAAGTTCCCCCCACATCTTCCCCAAAAGCTCAGGTGATGAAGAAGATTGTGTATTCTATGAATATACCAAATGCTTGAGAAGCAACTCCTGTCCTCCTTGGTCCTAACCACAGGTGCCAGCAGGCTGGCAGTGCACCACAGTGTCAATGTTGTCTTTCCAGCATTCCCCCCTAGTAGGCTGAGAGTGGGCAAGATCTTGGGAGGGAACATAGACAGGATAGCTAATCCAAAGTGACCAAAGCTATATTTCATACCATAGGACATCTGCTCAGCAATAAAATCTGGGGGAAAGGAGAAGGAAAGGAGGCATTCATTATTTATGATGTTTGTTCTCCACAGCAACCACTGTGTATACCGAAGCCCTGCTTCCTAAGAAGTGGCTGGACATCACCTGCTGATGGGAAGCAGAGAATAAATCTTCTGTTTGCCTTTGCTTCCATGTATGGCCTTTGCTTTTGCTTTATTAAACTGCCTTTATCTTGACCCACAAGCTTTTTTTCCATCTTATTTTCTACCTTGCCAAGGAAGGGAGTTACAAGAGCAGCTTGGTGGGCACCTGGTGCCCAGTCAAGATCAACCCACCACAGGAAACCTTGAGCAGATTTTCTCCAGTGAGCGCAAACAGCTGGTTCTTGTGCAAAAAAAATAGTGAAAAATAAAAAAGGAACAAACAAAAATAATGCAGAAGAAAAAGAAAAGGGTTTACATTTCCACTGATCAAGGCTCAGCTTCAGCAGGGCCTGCTAGCAGCTCTCTCCAGGCAGCAGCACTCACTCACTCACCTTGAGGTCGCGATGGACAACGCCCATCTGATGGCAGTGCAGCACGGCCTCCAGGATCTGCTGAATGCAATGACTGCATGCAAACACGGGGCGCGGGTTAGTTCCAAGCGTGGGCCGGGGGGCTCCCGCTGAGCCCCGCTGGCAGCCCCGCGCCGCGCCCAGCGCGACGGCCT